GCTGTTATTTACCTGCTATCACATGTTAGATATAACCATGCTTTCATTTTATAATCTGCATAGCAAATTACTGTGACAAGGGGTACACTTACACTGTAGAAATCATGCAGTTTTACACCATTTTAACTGGCATGGCCCTACAGAATCCTGGGATTTGTAGTTTTCTGAGGCACCATCACTCTGGCAAAGAAGGCTAAAGACTGTAAAACTACAGCTCCAAAGATTCCATAGGATGGATCTACAGCACTTAAAGTGATGTCAAACTGTTTTTATTTCTACAGTGTGAATGCACCCTAGGATAGGAGTGGCCAATTAAGCCAAATACAATTATGTGAACTATGATTCTGTGTTGATGTTGGTATCATATAGAAGCATAAGTTGGGCTACTCATGCAGGTTGTTTTTGGTGGACAATGCACAATGGTTGTGTTCTGCTGACAGTTTTAGAAACAGAGTTCCACATGCAGAAATGCTGCATATGCAGTTTCACATTGATGTTCAGACAGTAACGTGCATTGTGCTACATGTTGACGGCCATGTGTGTTGACTCCCAGTGTGCATTTGTTGCACTATGTTGCTGTCCAGTAGAGGGATTATGTAATGGAAGCAGAAGGTAACTCCACTGGTGGTTATGTACACTATGTGGCACTAATGTAGGACCTTGGCTATTGCTCTGCAGCCTGCCAAGTGTTTCAAATCACATCGTAGTTTTAGATGGCGGGCCTTGTGTGGCTGCTGGGCTGTGTTTGGCTGGATGGTTCATACAAGTTGTGTGTATCTGCCATCATATCTCAAGTTTGTTCTTAAACAGGCACACCTTATAATTCACTACATAAAATTCACTACACAATCATAATCATCTTCCCTCCTCCATTATAGCACATATACACTTATGTGTGTGTATGGTTAAGAAGCCATGCTAATGCTATCATCACAGTTACTGTTCTCATTCCCAAGCAGCCAATCCAAAGGAAAACATGCTTTATGAGGCAATTCATGGGGTGGATGTGTGGGTAGGTGGGTGTTGCATGCCTTCAAGTAATTTCCAACTCTTGGCCATCCTATCATGGGGTTTTCTTGCACGTTTTATTCAGAGGAGATGTGCCATTGCCTTCCCATGAGGCTGAGAGCATCTGATTTGCCCAAGGTCACCCAGTGAGTTTCATGACCAAGCAGGAATCAAACCTTGGTTTCCGCAGTCATAGTTCAGTGCTCAAACCAAAAAGTTGGGTGTCCTGTGCAGGCTTAATTTTCTAAACTACTTTTCACTTATTTAGCCACTTTAAAGCATATATACACTTGTGTGTGTGTGTATGGTTAAGAAGCCATGCTAATGCCTTACGTACCCAATTTCCTTTCATTGTGAAAACTTTTCATTCTCCTACCTTTTTATTTCCTGCTGCTTCCAAACCATAAAGAGAAATTGGCATTCTACCCCATGGCTGCTTTCCTGCTAAATGGCCTCAGAGGCCTTTGGTAAGAAACTTTATCCAAAGCTTTCTAAAAAGCCATTGACACTTTATTTAGTGGGCCACCAGTGGCTACACATGCTTGCTGACAACCTCTCAAGTCATTCCAAGAGGCTGAAGCATGACTCCTTACATAAGCCATGTTGACTGTTTTTCACCATGGCATTATTATTCCCTCAACAGTGAAAAATCGTTCAACCAGAATGCAGGAGAAAAATGACTGAGGTTTACGGTCTTTATTTATGGAGACAGAACCTAATCGATGTCTACAAAGATTCCAGACCAAAAAAACAAAAGTCATGCTTGGCTTATTCACCCTGGCAAAAGGAATCAGGTCAATTTGCCTTTGAAAAGAGTAAGAGTCATCTCTTTAGCCTGTGCACATGCCTGGATAATGTGGAAGCTGTTGACTAGATTTGTAGTGCTTTCTAAGGATGCTTTCCTATGTCGGGAGACTGGGCTTAGATAAATGCAACTGGATCAACATCAGCTGACTTCATGATAAATTTAACCCACAACTTACTAGGAGGGTCTTACTAGCAGACTGAGACACTAGAATTTAAAGATAAAGACTAACATTTCATCCATCCTTTGCTGGGGAAAACCATGGCTGCAACTATGTTAGAGCCTTGTCACATGAGAAAAGAAAGCTGAAACAGTGGGAGAGTGGCAGCTTTCTCTGTGCCTCTCCACATGCCATCTCAGCACTTCTATTCTCCTTCCTGAAGAAGATGGTCATAAAAATGTGCCTTTTGTTGAACAGATTTTTCCGGCATGACAAAAGATGCACTTTTACAGCCATCTCCCCCAGGAAGAGAATGGAAGCACTACGACACACGGCAATGTGTGGAGAAAGCTGCTACTCTCCTACTCCATTTCTTTTCTCATGTGATAAGGCTCTGACTTAGTTCTCCTTTTCCAGGACATGTCTTCTTTTTCAAAGCTAAAATTCCTATCCTGGAAGATTAATGTCTGTTGTTATTTTTAATGTTCGCTGTTGGTTCACCTCCAGCCTCTCAGTGCTGCCTGGGAGTCATCATAACAACCAGTGATTTGAAGTAATGAGCCAGTAAATGTGTCTTCCTTTTCAAAATATGCTAACCTACTGTAAGTCCAATGTATGCCTTCATCATTCATATGCATAATTCATATGCATTGTTTTTTGATTGTCGCAGGGGCTGGAATTCTGTACTGATTGCACAATGACCAAACTCCTTTCCCACACTTTTAAAAGTGCTACAACCCCCTGTAGCCATTTGCTGGCAGAGGAGAGTGGGGAGATGGTAGAGTAGCATCCAGCTATATTCTTATAAATGGATCCATAGCAATGACATCATCCTCTGGGATTGCCAGGTGACCCCCTCGGAGGTCCTGGAGGACCCCTGTTTCTGTGAGTCCTGTTATAGAAACAGTTGAATACTGCTTTGCCACACTGACCGCTGCAAATTGCCAACCCCTGAATGGCTATGGTGGGGGGTTGACAGCAGCTTAAAAGATGAGAGCGCGAGGAGGGAATATGTCATCATTCTACCTTTGTGAAACATTCCTCATCCAGGTCTTTTTTTTTTAATCCAACTAAGAAGAAAAGTGACAATGCAGGCTAACCTGGAACCTTTTTACTTGAAATAAAATAAAGTAAAAATAAAATCTGGGAAACATCTGAAGCATCCTCTTTGAAGTAGTGTACTTTCAGTTCTAACACCTCATCCAAATGCATGTGAAATCCAACTATGAAATAGACAGTTCAAGTTGTATTACATAGCAAGATCATTACACATAACAGTGCAATACATGCCAAAAGAAAAGAAGAAAGGAATAGGTTTGTGCCCAAGGAGTGTGCAGACTAAAAGTTCACAACATGGACAATCCCCTTTTCCTCAGAAACAAAAGACAGAAGGAAAGGTAATTTTAGAAACCCAAAGGTTACTTTTTATCAAACCTATATATATCTCCCAGGCAAAACCACAATGGGATGCACTCTCAAACAAATATGTAGATGATTTTGCTGCATCTTTCAACTGGGGATGAGGTTAATGATGCAGTCCTATAACATGTATATGGACCCAGGCCATGTTCAGTTTAATAGGATTTCTTCTCAATTTAGTGAGTGCAGGGTTGTCATTGGGGGCCATGGCAAAAGTTTAATTGAAAAAGTGATTTTTTAAAGATGGCTTAAAATCTTTCATGAAAATCAATCAGATATTCAGGATTTTGACATGGAAATACAGAGGTGGGCAAACTGGCTATTCTGTAGGGTCCCAGAGGCAGCAAAAATGGGTGCAGGCCTTATGTGGTCAAATCCCTGTGCAAATGTTAATGTGCAGAACTGGATGTGAGGTGAAGAGTCAATGATTTTGCCTACTGATTGTACCACCACCAGCCTGACTACCATTTGCAGAGTCCCTGTCTGAGCAAGGGCCTGCAGCTATACAGTCCAAAGCACAAAACCTCTGGTTGAATTGTACCATACAGAAGCCAGGGGTACAAGGTTTCATGTATAGAGCCTGTAAATGCTGGGGAATAGGTACATATTTCCATAAGCATGCAAGAACTCAAAGAGGAATAAAATAGTTCTTGCTTTTAAGAAGAATATAGACATTACAGAGCCAGCGTTGTGTAGTACTTTGAACTTGGACTCTGGAGATTGGGGTTCGATTCCTCAATCAGCCATGGAAACCCATTGGCTGACCTTGGGTGGGTCACACACTCAGCCCGAGAAAACCCTGTGATAGGTTTGTCTTAGGGTCACCATAAGTCAGAAATGACTTGAAGGCACACAACAACAACAACTAGACAAGTTGGAGCAGGTTCAGAGGCAAGCGCCAAGGATAATAAAAGGTATGGAGAACAAAACATGAAGAAAGATTGAGTTGGGCATGTTTAGCCTGGTGAAGATACCTCAAGTGCTGCCGCATAGAGGAGGTGCAGGTTAGTTTTCTGCTGCCCCTGAGGATAGGACTGGGTATAATGGTTTTAAGTTATAGGAGGGTAGATTTTGATTGAACATGAGAAGTAGTTTCTTGACAGAGAGAGTGGTTCAGCAATGGAATGAATAATCTAGAGAAGTGTTGGGTCTCTTCCTCTGGATATCTCCAACAAAAGGCTGGACAACTACCGGCTAGGGATGCTCCAGCTGGAGTTCCTGCACTGAGTGGAGAGTTCGAGTCAGTGGCCTATGGGGCCCCTTCCAACTCTATGACTCTATGCTGAAGTTTATATGCTGTAAGGGACTGATGCTAGAACTGTAATTCTGGTCCCTGCCATCAGTCCAATGTTGTGAAAGGTGTTGGTTTCCATATCAGTGGAGTGCCATTTTCCTGGAGCAGGATGCAAGGCAGCTCACAAGAAGAATCAGCTAAAAGCTAACAATAAAGTTTAAACGCAATTTAAAATGTCACATGAAAACAATAAGTTAAAACAGTATATAAATATTAAAAAATAAAGCACTCCTTCCCATAAGAAAGCCCCATGTAAGCAATTACTCATTAAAAGCCTATATGAACAAAATGGCCTTTTCCTGCTGGTAAAAGGAGCCAGCATGACACAGTGGTTTGAGTGCTGGATTATGATTCTGGAGACCAGGGTTCAATTCCTGCTTGGCCATGAAACCCACTAGGTAACCTTGGACAATTCACGAGCTTTTATTAGCCTCAGGGGAAGGCAATGGCAAACCTCCTCTAAACAAATCTTGCCAAGAAAACCCCATGATAGGTTCACCTTTGGGTCACCATAAGTCAGAAAGGACTTGAAGGCACACAACACAAAAAAGAAGAGCATGGAGGGGGCCAGCCAAGCCTCTCATGGAGGAGAATTCCTCAGGATAGGAGCAATCACTGAGAAGGCCTTCTTCTGTGTCCTTACCGAACAGACTTGAGATGGTGGCAAGACCACAAAGCCTTCCCCTGTCAACCCTAAGACTTTGGCAGGTTTGTATAAGTCTCTGGCAGGTTCAGTTGTGCTTAAAAATGAACCAGTAGCCAGTGCAACTGTTTTAATGTTATATGCTCCTTGTTACTGGCTCCAGGTATAGGGCCTGCCAACGATCGGGGGACAGCAGAACCAGCCCCACCGGCCAAAGGTATGCTCATCCCTGCTCTAGAGTCATCTCATTTCGGCTAATGGTAGAGCTAGCCCTGAATACCAGCATTGCTGTGACCTCCTCTTCCTTGTATTTTGCAGCCCAGTACTGCACCACTACCAATACACACTCCCTGTGACAATTATTTTAAATAAATAAATCCAAATTTTTTAAACATTGAGTTTGTTCAATTAACCTAAAAGTTGGCTGTACAACATTTTAGAGTAGCGTAGACCCATTGGATCAACTGAAGAATGGTGAGTCCAGACACAGGTAAATCTCATGGATTTATTAGGTCTGCTCTAGTTAGGATTAACCAGTAGATTTCAGGCCAGTATGTAACATTAGAACTAAACTGTGGAGTGGCCCCATCTTTGTTGAGTTTCCAATAGGCCATCAAAATTATTTTTGCATTACCTTTGATCTTTAAAATTGGTTTTTCATCTGCTTTTCAGATTGGTTTCATCTGATTTTTGAAAATGATTTTATCTTTTTTGTTGTTGTCATCATTTTCAGATCTCTTATGGGCAGAAAAGGGATACATAAATGCATTTAATAAATTAGTAATAAACTAAACCAAACTGAGGCTGTTGTACTTCGGACACACCATGAGAAGGAGGACTCATTGGAAAAGATAATGCTGGGAAAGGTGGAGGGAAGTAGGAAGAGAGGAAGGCCACATGCTAGATCAGGGGTAGGCAACCTTTCCCCTTTAAGGGCCGAGGGACTTCAGCTCCCAGAAGCCTCAGCCATGTTGGCCAATAGTCCCACGTTGGCCAATAGCTCCTGGGATTCTGGGAGCTGAAGTCCCTCGGCCCTTAAAGGGGAAAGGTTGCCTACCCCTGTGCTAGATGGACAGACTATATTAAGGAGGTCACAGGTATTGGGTTGCAGGATTTAAGCATAGCAGTGGAGGAAAGAGGGTCTTGGAGATGTCTCATCCATTGAGTTGCCATGGGTTGAGATCGACTCGAGGGCAGTTAGCAACAATAAAAACTCCTAAATACAAATGAGAAAAAGAGAGATTCCACTTCAGGAAGAGAAAGGATAGGAGAGGTACCTGAGTCCTTTCGCCTCCCATCATTCCGTTCTAAACCCTTATTCCTGCTTTTGTTCCAAACATTTTTGAGAAAGTGGTTTCAGGATGAGCAATATTAAGGATTAAACTCATATGTACATATTGTCTCTCTACTCTAAGCCACCCCTATTGAAGCCTCTTTTCCCTTTCAACACTACCAAAAAAAAGGGGGGGGGCTGTTGGAGTTTTGTTGCACACATTTGCGTGTTATGTTTAGCTAGGCCTTCAGCTCCAAAACCACAGGCTTCACGAAGGTAGCCAAGCACACTTAGCACCTGGCTACTCTATCCCTTGCCTGGTCCCTTAATCTGTTGCTTTGATCAGGATACGGATTGCTGTAGGCCAAATAAAATCCATGACTAATACAAAGGTATGAAAGTGAAGCATTAAAAGGAAAGAAAAAGAAAAGCCCCAAATTGGCCTGTGTGGCAAACTCTGGCGAACCTCTTCTTTGGAGCTTTGTGAGCAGAGAACATAAAAGAGGTGAAAGGAGGACACACTGTAATCCTTTGGAGTGGTCCCATGTGGGTTTCTTTCTGGATCAGTGAAGGGAGGGTGTATCTCATTCTCCTCCTTCCTTGAAGGCACAAAAAAACAAAACAAAAAAAAAAACACACACACAGATTGGCAGCTTTAAACTCAAGTGTTTAAACATAAGGCTTCAGAATGACTCCACTGATCCAAAGAAAGATATAGTTTCTTGTGGGTTTCTGAATTTAATTTGTATTTTCTGTTAAGTAAAATGAACGTTAATGCAGATCTAAAGAGGGAAGATGAAAAATAGAGTTACTGACAAGTATGGGGATAAGAATTTTTAGAAAAAACAGCTGGACACATCAGGAAGAGTTTGTCTCCAACAAGTGCAATTTTTCTGGAGAATATGTGAGCTTTTCTTTGGCATTTCCTCACTTTGGTTCTGGGGCACATAGTTGGCAGCGTTTGCTCTTTCGTCTTAAGACCGCTGTCGTCATTTTGCGTTACATAATAGTTCAGTTCACACAGATTGTCCTGGCAAAGCAAACATCATGCACAAATCTAGTATTAGCATGTAGTTTCAGCTCTTTTCCTCCAAAGCCATCTTTCTTCGTGACCATGAACGAATTTTAGTTGCCTCCATTTTGTGGTCTTCTTAATCCTGTGTTGCATGACAGATTTAACGCTGTGCGTGTATGTTTTTAAAAACTGGAATATTCTCAAATCTGACTCATTTCTACATCTAATACCATGGGTTATTTAACTACGGCTAAGTGAAATTATTTTAAAAGTCTCTGAATTTATCATGCCACAATGTTTTATTCTGGGGGTAAATGCTATCCCTTCATTCAAGGTCCATAGCTAATTTTCTTCCAGCAGTTTTTCAGGATTATGATCAGAATTCTTCTCTTACCCATTACTTTAAAAATGGAATGAAAGCAATGATTATATAAACCAATAATCTTACTTCTTTCAACATTATTTAGACTACAGCTATGCATAATAATAATAATAATAATAATAATAATAATAATAATAATAATAATAATAATAAAGTGTCAACTCTTTTTCTGATACTGTTACATTAGGTTTGACACGACTTCAGTAGCTTGATCATTGTTCCAGTGTAATGGGAAGAGCCGACCCTATCAATAGGCAAAGTGAAGCAGTTATCTCAGGCTGCAGATACATAAATAAATCTACGTATTTTCCGGCATATAAGACAACTGGGCGTATAAGATGACCCCCAAAATTTCCAATTAAAATATAGCGTTTGGGATATACTCGGCGTATAAGACTACCCCTCTTCCAACGGGGGGAAATGAGAAAGTGTTGGGGAGAAGGACTGCCAATATACTAGAGGATGCATTCTGGGCTACAATTTGCAGCCACTTAAGTGACCCTGGGCATGTCATACACTCTCAGCCTCAGAGGATGGTAA